GTCCAGCCTGATTTCACTCTGTGTTATCAGGACTGATACACCTTGATCACCACATTCAGACTTTTCCAGCCTTTTTCACAGTGTGCTACTGTGGGGAACGACAGACTGACCTGAGCTGAACAGCTGGAGGCTTTCCTTACCCTCCTGCAAGCCAGCACTGCCTGAGGGCCAGCAGAGCCCCATGAATATTCAGAGCACAGCTCCCAGCCTCAGGCTCCTTCTTTACTTTCCGGAGAGAAAAAAACCCCAGTATTTGCAGAGCCTCTTTCCTGATATTTTTCATGACCAGCTTAATTGTTTTTCTTCCCAGCCCTCAGTGGTGCCCGTTCCTGCAGCCCCTGCTCAGGCAGTGCTTGCACAGACACTGGTGTGTGTTCTGTGGAGCTCCCGGGTGCCGGTGCCAGCCCTGAGCCAGGCAGTGCCCCGCGGGCTGGCAGGGGCTGGGGCACAGCCAGGGCATCCAGCTGAGCTCGGGACCGCGGGTTATATTTGACCACTGTCCAAACCCCGGCTCTGCCCGCAGGATGTGGAGGTGTTTCCTTGGCACAGCAGCATCCGGAACAGCACCAGCTGCTGGAGCTCTGGGACACCTCTGGAAATGCAGGACTTGGCTGCGAACTCTCTGAAAGAAAAGGCTGGGAGAGAGCAGGCAGGACAGCCCCTGGGACAGTGGGGATTTTAGGAGGCCAGGTCTCTTCCTGAGGGCTTCCACAGCCACCCCTCAGACCCCCCTGTCACAGGGTGAGCTGGCCCTGGGGCAGCTCTCGGGGTCTGCCCTTGCATCAGTCCTTCCTTGGAGCCACATGAAATATATTTCCCCTTGTTCCTGGTTTGCTCCAGGTGACGTCAGCAATTTTTTGTAACAGAGCTTTACAGTCTGTAGGTTGAAAAATGCAAATTTGTGACACTTAGAGACACTTCCCCACTTTCCAGGGAATTTTCCAGTACCCAGAGTGGTCAACACCCAGTGGCAGGGGCACCCAATTGCAGTGGCCTGAGCCCCACCAGGGGTGGGGGGTGCTGGCCAGGCTCCAGCACCACTAAACATGATTAAAGAGGGGATAACCCAACCCCCAAAAATCAGTCCCCAGGGAGCTCCCAGTGATTTTGGAAGCCACACCAGCTTCAGCCTGGGGGACAGTGTCTGGCCCCCTCAGCATGCTGGGGATGCACTCATGGGGCACACCAGAAACAAAAAAGACATTTGATTGTTTTAGTACAAACAAACCAAAAAAGTTACAAATATCTTACTCTTTGAGTCTTATTTTTCCCCAAAAGGACAACATTTAGACAAATCAAATCCTTTTGTTTACACTGAAACTGGAAAGGGCAGCTCCCGCTTGGGTTGGAATAGACCAAAATTTACTTGACTCTCAGGCAAAATCCTCAAACCATAAAAGTTCAACAAATGGCTGTCCCAGTGTTCTCCTGATCCTCAGTGTACCTGTCCAGCCAGGATGGAGGCAGAGCATGGCCCTTCCTGCTGTATTTGACATTCCAGCCCATAATACTGGGACACAGACATTAGTTTAGGACAAGAAATAAAGATATTCTTAAAGAGGAACGTTTTTTTGGGACTGGGGAAATCAAGCCAGTGCCAAAAGCTTTTTCCCACTGGAAGGAGTAGGATGCAGCTGATGGCATCAGTGGCTCAATTCTGGATTGCTTTACTTTACTTTTCCAAAATCCTATCCTTTTTTCTTCCATGCCCCTGGGCACTCAGAATGTAGCTCATCTCTCTGAGGCTGCAGCCTGCTCTTCAGTCTTCAAGAGAAAACCTTTCTTGCATTTTATATCATTTTTTCCCTTGATCTGGGTTCAAACACTGGCAAGGCACGGCATTGAGATTTTGCATCTGACTGCTGGGTGTGGCATCCCTGTCAATAGTCCCTTGTGTGACTTTTACACTCAGCTTTGAAAAGCAGGAAAGTGGGCTTGGATTAAACCCACTGGGTTGCCTTCCCTGCTGGAATCTTGCTGCAGTCAGTTGAGCAGCAGCAGAGCAAACCTGGCCCACTTTGTCTGGAGGGCCTCTTCATATGAGCCGAGGAATTTAATTTCAAGTTTTATTGTTTGCCTTGACCTGGATGTTACAAACACATACTGACCCAGCAGCCACTGAAGGGCTCTCTCTGGGGTGTGTGACAGCATCACTGCTCATTTCCCAGGGGTTTTCCTCCCCCCCTCAGCAGGTCAGGCTCCCTGTGCTCCCTGCAGGGCACAGCAATGTCCCTACAGCCAGGGCCAACTCCTCCTCTGCTCCCAGGGGACACCTGGCCCTGGGTGGGGATGATCCCAGTGTGGAAGGGGATGCTGTGGACAGGGGGGGATAATCCCAGTGCCGGGGGGGATGCTGTGGGGAACCCAAGAGGAGGAAGGTGACCTGCACAGAGCTGCTGTCCTTAAACAGCCTCTGCCTCTCCACTGGTGAAATCCTCCCCATCACAGACAGACGGGCCCTTCTGCTGCCTCAAGTATTTCTTAAAAAAAAAAAGGGACCACAAATAAGACAGCACTGCAAATATTTGCAGATTCAGAGCAGTTAAGCTCTGAAAAACTTCAGTTTGCAAAACTTTGCTGAAATGTGGTTTCTGCCCAGACAATGTTATTTCTCTCTGTGGGGGGGGCTCTGCCCTCCCTCTCTCCCACCCCTTCACCCGGGGGAGCAGGTGAAGAACTTCTGCATCCAGAAATACTTTATTTAAAGCTTCAGGAACATTTTCATGTATTGTCAGTCATGTTTAGAACAACCACACAGAACCTGTGAGCTGGAACTGGAGCTGATTGTTCACCAGGAGGCACAAAGTCCGTGTGCTCGACCCCTGGCCATGGACGGGACGGGGAGGGTTTGTCCTTTGCAGCCCCACAAGTTACAACACTGCAGTCACTTCCTGAGGCACGTGGGGCTGAACTGACTGCTGGACAATTTATCCCTCTACTTTCATGGAAGAGCTGGATCAGTAACAAATCCCACGAGGTGAGAGGCTCAGCTCACCAGCTCAGCTCTCATGGACTGCCCCGACTGGCACCGTCTGTGTGGGATCCCCACATCCCCCATGTGCTGCTGGCTCTGTGGGGCAGCACCACACCCCTGTAAACTCAATTTTCCTGAGCCCCAGAGCCCCTGACCTGCCTCCAGGAGCTGCTGCCTCGGCTTTGGGTGATAAAACACAGTGAATGTCCTCACTGGGGCAAGGATCTTCTCATGCCTGCACTGAATTTCAGTCCTTAAATCAACACTAAAGGCTGCCATATGTTTCGAGCTGTTAGATGCATTAATTTCATGCTTTTGCTCCCGACACTGGAGAGGCACAGGATTTTGTTTAGCTGTTTAATTGCAGTACATTTTTTAGCAGACAGTATTTTACGAGCTGCAGAAATACCTGCAAGGCTTTAGCAGGTGCCAGCAGTGCCATAAGCCTGAAGCAAGTGTGTGCTGGAAAGGGGACTTCAGAGAAGAATGACAATTTCTAGATCACAAAATCAAAACTCAGAACATGCTACAGTGGGCTGCCACTCTCCCTTGTCCAAAGTCCCTCCCCAGCTCTCTTGGACGCCCTTGAGGTTCTGGAAGGTGCCAGAAGGTCTCCCTGGAGTCTTTTCTTGTACATAAAGTGAACTCGACCTCTCCCTTGTCAGAGCCCACCCCACTGCAGGGAGGGTGATGGGGATGACCCAGCCCTGCCCTCACAGTCCCTGGAGTGAGGGCTGGGGATGAGGAAAGGGCCACTCCAGGGCTCCCCCCAAACCCTGTCCTCTCCCCGTGCCTCCGCTCTGACATTTGCCCAAGCTCCCACCACGCACATTCCTCTGCAGCAGGAACAGAACCACCTCCTCTCCACTGAGAGAAGGGGGAGTCTCGGCTGGATTTTAACCCTGGCTGTGGAGGAAGGGGATCCCCTTTTCCCTCACAGCTCCCCAGGCAGGAGGGACCCCATGAGAACAGGGGCCCCTTAGGAAAATCCAGACTCTGAAGTGCTCCCGCGTAGATGTTGATCCCAGACACAGCAAATGTGCCACCCATGGGGGGCTGGGGGAGATCTCACCTCTTTCTGCACCTTGGGACCTCCCTGTTCCACTCCAGCTTCCCACTGACTCCCTCTAAACACCCCAGTGCTCCCAGGAGTTCTACCCACCATGGTGGCTGTGCACAGGGCTGGATGTGCCCTGCTCCCCCCAGCAGCAGAGCAGGGACCCCTGGGGCAGGAGCTGAGGGCCCACAGCTCCCCTGCTCCAACCCTGCAGCAGGTCCAGCACCCCCCAGCTCTCATCTCCAGGTTATTTAATCAGAGGCAAGCAAACAGCCACTGAATGGAGTTGTGAGGAGAAACCAGTGTCTTCTGAGCAGAAAGAACCCCCAGCAGCTGTGAGCTCCTTGCACACTCACCTTGGCGAGAAAATATTCCAGTTCTCTGGCAAATAACATAGATTTTTAATGTAAGAAAACAGGCTGAGCACACAGACACCTGCCAGCCTGGGGTAGCTGATGTTTTCAGTGACATTGCTTGATGTAGGGAACAAACACAATTCTCAGGGACTCAGTGCTGGATCCTGGGATAGTGTCACTCCCATCGGATCCAAGAGGGGATGGGAGAGCTGTGGGACAAGCAGCAGGGCAGAGCCCAGGGTGAGGTGCTGCTGGCTCCAAGGGGAAGGTACAGCTCCCTGGTACTTGGAGGGGTCACTGATGTATTGCAGGGTAAAGCAGCATTGCAGCATCTCAGGGACACCCCCCCTGCCCCCCCAAGACACCTTAGGCTGGAAAGCGGTTTTCCACAAAATTCTTTGTGTTCCAGTTCCGTGGCTGCAGCTCCAGGGGCTGAGCCAGTTGCTGCCCAGGCAGAGCTGTGCCCTGCCCCTCTCTGGGGGCTGAGCCCACTCCCCTGTGTGCCCACTCCTTGGTTTTACACCATTGCACGTGCAGAGGACAAAGCTACAGCTGCTTGTGGCTGCAATTTTACACCATTTGCTTTTAGAAGGTTGA